CCGTCCCCGGCCCTCACCATCTCAGCGCTGCCCGCGGCCCGGCCCCGTCCCTGCCGCCTCCATGCCGCCGGGCGGGCGGGCGGCCATCGGGCCTTGACGTCAGGGCCCCGCGCCTCCGTCGCCCGGCAACGCCGCCCGGGGGGTGACGTCACCGCAGGGACCCCGGCCCCGAGCCCCCGACCCGTCCCGGCCGCGTCTCGAGCGGGGCGGGCGGATGGCGGCGGGCGGCGGACCCCCGCGGCCCCACATCGGGTCCCCATGGGCTCTGCTCAGTGTCCCCAAATGTCCTTAGCGCGGACTCTCCCCGCGGTGCTCGCGGCCCCGTGCCGGGTCCCCACACGACGGCTCCGCGCCGGGTCCCTGCAGCCCTCACTCGGTGTCCCCCGCACGCGGTCCCCAGGAGCCCGCTTTCGGTCCCCGTGGCCTCACGTTGGGTCCCTGCACTTCTCATTGTCCCTGTGGTCCCTCACAGCCCCTCATGGCCCCCATGACCCCGTGTTGAGTCCCGCATGCCCTCCCATTGGGTCCCTGCAATATCCCCTCATTGTCCCCAGCATAGGGTCCCTGCAGTCCTATCATGGCCCCTATGGCCCCGTGTTGTGCCTGCATGGCCTTCACTCATTGCCTCCAGCACAGTGTCCCCATGACCCCATGCTGGGTCCCCATGGTCCCCCGTGGCCTCATATCAGGTCCCTGCACTCAGTGTTGCCAGCATAGGGTCCCTCTGGTGTCTCACAGTCCCTCATGGTCTCTATGATCCCATGTGGTGTCCCCATGGCCTCACATTGGATGCCCTGTGGCTCTACACTGGGGCCTCATGGTCTCTGCTCAGTATCCCCAGATGTCCTTAGCATAGAGCCTCCATGGTCCCCCATGGTACTCATGGCCACATGCGGGTCCCCATGGTTCCCACAGCCTCACACTAGGTCCCTGCAGTCCTCACTCAGTGTTCTCAGCACAGGGTCCCCATGGCCCCCCATGGTCCCATGTTGGGTCCCCATGCTCCTGACTCAGTATCTCCAGTGTCCCCAGCACAGCGTCACATGGATGTGGCACTGGGTGCCCACCTTAGGTGCCACATTACTGTCACAAGGACCCCAGGAGGACCTCTATAAATAGCCCTTCCTCGCGGTGTGACACATTGTTCCCAATGTCTGCAGCACAGTGTCCTGATGATCCCAATGCAGAACATCCAGGTAGGGTCCCCCCATGCCCTCAGCAGTGTCCCCACGGTCCCAGCACAGAGTCCCCACATTGCGGGAACGACATCCCCATAATTCCAGCACAGTGCTCTCATGCCCTCGCCTCTCTCTCCCATTTTTGGGATGACATGGGGACACCTCACCGCATGCTACCCAGAGCCACTGACAAGACAGCTTCTGACAAGTTTGGGCACCCAGGCCTGTTCTGTAACTCAAGACACCTATTTTTGTCCCCAGATGTCTATTTCTGTCCCCAGACCACAGGGTTGGCAGCAGGGGGATGGCACGTCTTCCCCTGCACCTCCATCTTCCGTGGGATGTCATCGCGTTGGGGGGTCTATGCGTGACGAAGCCACGTGGGTGCATTGACCTTTTCTCCCTAGGACACCTGTTTTGTCCCCCAAACTTGGGGGCAACCCTAATGACATATGGGGTGGCTCAGGGGCCAGCAGAAGCCGCTTCACGGCGCCCTTCGGCCATCCGGCATGCCTGCAGGTACCGTGGGCAAGGGGCGCGGGTGGGAGAGCCGAAGGGAGCTAAGACTATAAGAGCAGCGCGGTCCCTTTAAGAGCAGCGCGGTCCCTTTAAGGCCGCGGCCACTCTTCCCCCGCGTGCGCTCAGGCTGTGCCACGCTCTGATTGGCTGCGCTGCGCGTGAGAGTCACATCGCTTCCTCCGCAGCTTGCGCGTCCGCTAGAAAAAAGAATCTCGGCCGTTCGCCCCGTTGCGCAGTGGGCGGAGGGATCCGCGGGGCGGCGCTTCGGCCGGGATCACCTTGGCGGCGCGGCGGGGAGGCGTGCAGAGCGGCGGCGGCGCTCAGGCGGGACGGTCTCGGAGGCGGAAGCAGCACCAGGAGGTAACGGCGGCCTCCGGCTCCGCACAGGGAGGGCGTTGAAGGAGGGCGGCAAGCGGGCAGCCGAGGCCGCCGTCATCGTCGCCGTACCCGACGTTCAGGCGGGAGTGTTACGTTCAGGGCAGGGCGTCGAGGGGGCGCTGAGGGGAGGGGGGGCTCCACGCGGTTGGGGTCACGGCGGCGTTGGCGGAGGGTTGGTTGGGTGGGTGCCCGCAGCGCTCCGCCCGCCCGGGCTGAGTCAGCCGTCGGCGCCGCGGCCACGTGCTGGGGCCCCACTCGGCTCTTCCCGAAGCTCCCTGCTCTCCCAGCTCTGGCATTCCGTTCATCCCCGCGTGGCCGCCTGCCCCTCCCCCCGCCCTGCCGCGGGCTTTGAAGTGCGCGGGGTGCGTGAATGGGGCTTTTGTTAGCGGACGGCGGCCGCCCGTCGAAGCGGAGAGGCGGCATGCAGAGCCCGCTACGTGCCACTCCGAGTCGGCACTGCGCTCCTTGGGGAGCGGGTGGTGCGCAGGGCCGGGTTCGGGCACCCTGCTGCCCCGGGGACAGCTCCAGAGCACGTGCTGGCACCGGTGTGTGTCTGGGGGGGAGGGGAGGATGGTAGCCGGAGAACCGCACCCCAACGCAGGGCCGAAAGTGCCGCCGTCAGCACGCGGCTCCGCGTCCGCCCCGCACCCGGAGCAACGCTCGGACAGACGGTTGCGAGTCGTTGAGGAGCGGCCACGCGCACCTCGCCGTGCCCCAGGGCCGAGCGCCGCGGCCACGTGCCGCCCTGTGCGGCCGGGAGGGGGAGGGGGCGGCGCCGCGCTGTGCGGGTCCGCACGTACAGCATGGGCTGCTGCGGCGCGCCCTGCGGGGCTTCCTGCCCTAAGGCTCCGAAGCGCGGCGCTCTGACCGCTGCCGCTGTGCGGCGAAGCTGCCCGTCCTGTGCCGGCGCAGCCCGCTGCGCGGTGAGGATGGAAGATGCGCACGCTCTGACTGTGTTCTCTTGATAAGTTTGCCGCCTGTGCTTCGTTTCTTTAGTTGAAGCCTGCGCCGTGCCCTTGTCCTCTAGGAAGGGCGGACGCGGCGTTAAAACACGCAGTGAAGGTGCCCGACGCTCATCCCCCGCCTGCTGGCTCGACGGCCCATCCCGGCCGGCCCCACGAGGGCTGCCTTTGGGAGGCCATCTTGCAGTTGCATAAGGCTGCGGCGCAACCTCCCGCAGTCGGAGTCATCCTCCCCTCCCAGCGAGGGGGGCCGCCGTGTTGGCAGCCTGTTGTGCGCCCGGCTCCGTGGCTGTGGGTGGGGATGGCGGTGGGGCCGTGCATCCTTCCTGCCCCGGGGCGCAGCTGGGATGCTGCAGCCGGAGGTTCAGTGCTGCAGCTCGCACTGAGTCACCCCGCTGCCCAGCCCGGCCCGCTGCCTTCCAACGGTTTTGCCTTTCTGGAATGTTCAGCGGCCGAGGAGGCACCGGCCATCTTGAGCATGCCTTGCCTGAAATGGGGTGATACCTCTGGGGATTTGAGAGTTACGCCCCGAGAAAATAAAGCAGCTTTGTGCGGGGAATCAGGCTTTGCAAGGTATTACTCCCCCACCCCCTTCCTAGCTCAGCTCAGAGTGCCTTCAGGTGTTCCTGAGTAACTGATTTAAAAAACAAAAAGTGGGAAATGCCAGACATTCCTCTTAGGGTTATAAAACTGCTCGCCCTTTGAGCATCCATTGCAGATGGGATGCAGGAGGAAGAACGAGAATGTGGGGCTCCCTGCAGCCCAGCAGATGGTGGCTGGGATTTTATTTTGCTGCTGTGTTTCCTCTGTCCCCCCTGAGCAAGGTCACAGCACAGCCCTGTCGCTGTGTCTCTTATCTCCTTGAGTCTGTTGGAGAATCTCTGGGGATTCTGACTCAAAGCAATTTAACTCTCCTCCCTTTTTATACAATCATAAAGCCTTCAGGGCTTGGAAATCACACTCACAAATGACTTGTGTGGGTGGGGAGTTTTCACGAGGAGGAAGCTGTCTCCGAAGGAGGAAGGCTGAGCTCCTGCCCAACGTTCTGGGAGCAGACGAGTTGCACTCAGTGCTTCCCTGACCCTGTTCCCCACAGCCACGCTGTCCCTTTCGCTGCTCTTTGCTGAGGCAGTTTCCCGGCAGAGGCTTTTTGTGCTATCCGGCAGGTGCTCCAGGATGCACCAGCAGATGTTAGAGGGCTGAAACACCCATGTTCAGGTCTGAGCAGCGGGCATCCCCGTAATAAGGCGCCTTTGTTGAGGCTTTTATGTGGGCAGGCTTTCTTGTACTGACTTGAGTGAATCAGCAGCTTCTGGCAGGGCTGAGGTGAAGGACGCCTGCCAGGACAAATTATGGTTTTTGCTGGCCCGTCTTTGCGCTCCATTTCGCACGGCGATGAGGCGATGGTGAGTCAGGGCTGCCTGCGAGAGGATCGGCACGTAGGTGGGGGGAGCGGCTGGCGGGGGACCTCTGTGCTGATGCTGCTCCCTTCTGCTCTGCCCAGCTTTAGTGGAGCTGCTGGTTTATTAATGCCCTTGGCAGCTGGAGGTGCACGGTGAGCTCTGTTTTTGTGGCAGATGGAGCGCATCCCTGCACGGCTCAGTGTGCTGATGGTGTACTGAGGGTCAGCAGTCCATCCGTCCCCCCCACCTTGGGGAGCAGCACACCAAGAAGCTGAGCCTTGCCCGGGCACATGGTCCCATCTCACCTGGGTGTAAGTGCAGAAGGAAGGCGTGCAGGAAGGAGAGGATAAGTGGCTTCTAGCTGCATTGCTGCTTGAGGACAGAATTCCCAGTGGGGGTTCTCCCATTGCAGCACACAACTGTGGGTTTCACTTCAGCTTTCTCGTGTGCTCAGAATCTTCCCTGCTGTTCTGGGGATGCTTTCATCTCGTGGAGGCAAGCATGGAGTTTCTTCTCCCAGAAACAGCCGGTCTCAAGCCCTGTTGGAGTCTTCCTGCCTCCTGCAAATGCATGGACTGCAGTAGTGGTGTATTCATTTGGAAGAGGGCCCTTGAGGTCATTCAAGGATTCTTTAGTCTTATTTGCATCGTCTGCCCCGGCGTTGCGTTCAATCAACTCAAGTCTGATTATCTGCAGGCTTAAAGGCCGGGTTAAGCCTAGGTGCACTTGGTGTGCTGAGGTGTGTCCCCGCGTGCAGCACGCCTGCAGTCACGCCAGCGGCCGGCTGCCCGGTCCCCAGGCTGCAGGCAGAGATGGGCTGAGAGCGGGCAGGCAGCGGGCAGCGCGCTGCCTGTGCACTGAAGCGCTTGAATTTTGTTGCGTTGTGTAGCTGCAGGGGAAGACTGGCAATGAAGAGAAGCTATGAAGGGAACTTCTGCATAGAAGGCAGGTGAGCTTTGGGTGGTGTCCATGGGGAATGACATTTAAATAGAAGTGTGTCTTGCCTGTATCTAAGACTCTCAAGTAGGAACATGATGATAGTCTGACCCAGTAGCAGCTTTCTCGTTACCTCCATATTCATCACGTGGGTGTGTTGGTGTCTCTGCATGGTGAGTGAGCAGGGGCGATCCCTAAACCCAGCACCATTTTCTTCTCTTGCAGACACCGAACTCCAGTAACCATGTCGAAGCACCACGATGCAGGGACCGCTTTCATCCAGACCCAGCAGCTGCACGCTGCCATGGCAGACACCTTTCTGGAGCACATGTGCCGCCTGGACATTGACTCTGAGCCGACCACTGCCAGAAACACCGGCATCATCTGCACCATCGGTACGTGGCTCCCAGATCCCAGGGAACGTGGCTCACGTTAGGCTGTGAATGCCTGTGCTGGTGAAACTCATTGTGGGAATGTGGGATGGCTTCAGCCTTCATCTTTTGCCAAGGCTGTGCCTGTCTGTTGAAACAACACAACTTTCCCATGCCTGTCTGCCCACTTTTATTGCTAGTAGTAAATCCAGTGATGTCTGAACTGGTTGGGTTCAAATATGCTCCCAAAGTCAAGTTAAGACAAAGGAGCTGCTTTCGTGTTGAGCAAGTCTGTATCTACTGTGTCTCAGTTATCCCCTCCACATGAAACAGCCTGATGCTTGTGGGTTATCTCATTATTTATAGCAGGTTAATATTCAAGCTGTTTCCTCCTCTTAGGCCCAGCCTCCCGCACTGTGGAGAAGCTGAAGGAAATGATTAAATCTGGAATGAATGTTGCCCGCCTCAACTTCTCGCATGGCACCCACGAGGTAAGGATGGGGGTGGGACTGACGCAGTCCCGAACTTGTGACTGCTCATCCCTTCCTTCCCTTCTGCAAGACGAGACCAAGGGAAATCCAACTTGCTCCAGAGCAGCTGTGGAGGAAGACGAAACTTTATGTTTGGGGGAAGTGTGCCAGCTGTAAATACCAAGCCTGCAACATTCCTGATAATGTGTCAATGCTTTCTGGAAGCAGCTTGAGTTATTTCCACACCCTTTTCTGCACCTACCTCTATCTGGGAGCCAGGTAGCTGATATCTGAGTTCCTTTGCTTCTTCCCCACCCTCATGGGGTAGCGAACTCGCATCTGCTTTAGGGCTAGGCTGCTTCTGGGTTGCCTGTGTACCTCTGCAGGAGTACGCAGCCATTCACAGTACACAGTCATTCACCCTGCTTCACCGTTGAAGGTTTTGCAAGTGGTCAGTGAATAACTGTCTCAAAAGATAAGTCAGCTGAAGTAATTACTGTGTGTGTCTGGAAGAATTGCACTTCTGGACTTGCCTGGCTAGCCAGCTGCTCAGGTTATGTCCTCAGTAGTCATGAAGCTAGCAGCTTGTCACTTGTGGGGGGGGCAATAATCCTCTGGGAGTAAGGTCAGAAGAAATCAACACTGCTTGTGGTGGACGAGCCCTTTTTGATATAAATAGAAGAGATCCTCTGCAACGCTGCTGGAGCAAAGGATCCCATTCCAGGTTGCCCGGAATGCCACCCTTAGCGTTGAGACTGAGTTCTTATGCTGGCTGCCCTCCTGCTTTCAAAATGTCAAACTGTAACCAAATGACAGCTATCGGTGGCTTTACTTAGTGAGCTGTGAGCTCTGAGGTGCGTAACGGCTCGACCTCTCACCCTCGTGGCCTTTAAAGGCCACAGGGCACTGTAGAAATCAAAAGGTCTGGTGTTTAGCTGCGCACAACCGTTGGACCATGACTGCATTAGCCTGTGGTAGCAGCAGTGCGCAGGCTGCAGCTGACCAAAATGCAAACGTGGAAAGGGCTGTATGGACTGGTTTCACTCCTCAGTGGTCGCGTGCTGCTCCCAGCCAGGAGGTTCAGCAAGGAGTTGGTGGCCAAGCTTGAACCTTCTTAGCTGTCCTAGCACAGTGCTGTGGTTGGTGTGCTTGCTAGCTGAGGTGAAGGACAGGGAATGTGGCTTGGCTTTGGGTGAAGTGCAGCCCAATTGCATATTTGGTTTAGATGGAGGTTAGGTGATTGCAGCAAAACCAACTGCTGTCTGCTGCCCAGTTTGACTGCTAGCTGAGTAACCAGGCAAGACTGAGTTCCCATCTGATTCCTTAAGCACTCTGTTATCCACTACAGTTGCTTGAGGTTTTCACGTGCTGTCCATATTTCAGTTCCAATGTTCATCCTAAAACACATAACAGGGCTCAAGTTAGTAGGTGCAACCAGATGCTGGACCTCTTTCATGGAGGAAGTCTGCTTTTACTTCAGCCCCTGCCAGCATTCTGATCACGTGTAATTCTTGTGGAAGACTTCCTGGGAGCTGGTCATTGATCTGTACCAAGTAATAAAACATCCCAGGTGACTGATAAGCCCCACGGCTCTGCTCAGGCATGTTTCCGGTGCTGCCTGTTACAGCTGGGGTATGTGGAAGGACCAGGTGCTTTCTCAGTCTCCACTTGTGCACTTGATCAGTAAACTTAATTTTCTCTGCTCTTGAGAGCTAGCTGTGGTGTATTTCTGGCTGAGGGCATGCACGGCTTGCTGCAGGTGCACCTTCCTGATCCCAGGGCAGGTGATGTGAGGACAGCTGGGTGATCCAGGCTGCATGCTGTCAGCCCATGCCACAGGGAGGGGAAAGGGCATTTCTTATCTTCCGGAGCCTGCCAAGTATTGCGTAACTGTCAAGCTTATCTCTAGTGTTGTTTAAACTAGATAGCAACCTGACTTGATGATCGTCTGAAGCTTGTTTGAGATGATTGGGATGGGAATTTCCCTGTCAAACTGTCCCAAAATTGGCAGTACTAGCAAAATGCTCTTGCACCCATGGAAGGGTTTTGGAGCGTGGTATGTGGAGACGGAGCCTTGAACTCCTGGCTGCAGTTGTGTTAGCTCTCAAAATAAAATGCAAATACGTAAAGGGATAATATCCTCTGAGTAAATCCCTTATCCCTAGCGGAAATCTGAGTCAGAGTTGTGAAAGTGTCCACCCATGTGCCTGACAGCAACGTCCTCACTTTGGTTGTGTTGGTGGGACTGATAGTGGGGGGTGAGGTTGAAAGGCTCTGGGGCAGTGTGGCACCTCCACTTTCAAGGTCTGAAGGGAAGAGGACAGCAGCTATGTGCAACCATCCCTTAGCTGTGATGCTTTCTTGCTGTTCTGTACTTTCACACATGCAGTCCTCCAGCTGCTGCTATTTGATCATGCTTGAGTAGTGTTTGGGCTATGTAGCACAAGCAGTGGAGTAGAAGTGAGCTGAAAGTTTCCCTCTCTTTTCCAGTATCATGAGGGCACAATTAAGAACGTGCGAGAGGCTACAGAGAGCTTTGCCTCCGACCCAATCACCTACAGACCTGTGGCTATTGCACTGGACACCAAGGGACCTGAAATCCGAACTGGACTCATCAAGGGAGTAAGTTACTCCTTTTTCTTTTTATGCCTGCCTTTTCCAGTGCCTGAGATTAGATAATGTTCCCGTGGCCTGCTTTTCCCAAACAAGGATTATCTTATGAGAACAAAATAACTGTATGTGTTGTCTGGCATTTGTACCAAGAGTCTGCACAAACTGCTGCAAGCTGCAAGGCAGCTGGGTGCTTGTTTTTCCATGTTTTTTTTTCTGAAACACTTGTTTTGACACGCAGAGTGGCACAGCAGAGGTGGAGCTCAAGAAGGGCGCAGCTCTCAAAGTGACCCTGGACAATGCCTTCATGGAGAACTGCGATGAGCACGTCCTGTGGTTGGACTACAAGAACCTCATCAAAGTTGTAGATGTGGGCAGCAAAATCTATGTGGATGATGGTCTCATTTCCCTGCTGGTTAAGGAGAAAGGTGTGTAGCAACCCTCACAGCATTTGCTAGCTCTTGTTTATTCTTCACTAAGAATCTTTGTGACTTCCTTACTTCCACAATGGTTCTTTAAGTTCTGAGTTAAAGAAATGAGCGCTGAGATCTAAGACTTAATGCTGCAGTGAGATGTTATAGTTAAAAAAAAAAAAAAAAGTGCTCAGCTGGGGTAATTAGCTTGAGCTGGCATTCACTAGTCATCCAAAACCCCCTCTCACAGATGAATACGTGGGGGGGCATGCATATGCCTATTAAACTACATTAATTCATACTTCCTACTCAGAGTTGAGCAAATTTTATAACAAGATCCTGTGTTTTATGGTTAGAAACTGAACTAGCTTTACTGGTAGTGCAAGGGAAAGTTAATTTCCCAGTGTTTCCTTCATGGTGGTTCAAAAATCTGCTCTAGCCTGGGGGTATCTCCTGTAACTCCAGAGCATGCAGGGAGGTGCGGGTGAGGTGCTTGGATATTATGGGATGCCCACATGCAGAAATGTAGCCTGCTAGTTCTTTGAGGGAAGCAGCCCCAATCTCCTGCATGGTGGGGAAAAGAGGCATCTTTCCCTAAAGCACACAGTGGTTTTGTGCTGTGCTCTCACAGGTACGTTGCGAGCTCACGCGTTACGGGAGTCTCAAGGAGAGCAGTGCTGTGCTTCTGCTGTGATTGCTGTAAACATTGTGGTTCTCAGGCAGCTTTGGCAGGAGGGGATGTGGGAGCTGGTGGTGGGGAACTCACCCTGCTATGCTCTGACTGGGAATGCATCTGTTTCAGGCAAGGACTTTGTCATGACTGAGGTTGAAAATGGTGGCATGCTTGGTAGCAAGAAGGGAGTGAACCTCCCTGGTGCTGCGGTTGACCTGCCTGCGGTCTCAGAGAAGGACATTCAGGACCTGAAATTTGGTGTGGAGCAGAATGTGGACATGGTGTTTGCTTCCTTCATCCGCAAAGCTGCTGATGTCCACGCTGTCAGGAAGGTGCTAGGGGAAAAGGGAAAGCACATCAAGATCATCAGCAAGATTGAGAATCACGAGGGTGTGCGCAGGTGAGATTTGCACGAGTGGCACTGCAAGTCCTTCACTCTGGAGGAGCAGGAGGACAAGGCCCTTTCATGCTGTAGCTCCTCAGAAATGTACATCACTCTTTGTAGGGAGTGTGATTTCAGACTTCAGTGCTCAGGATGCAAACTGGTGAGCTAATGCATGGAATCACCAAATATGTGACAAACTATTAGACTGAAATGTCTCAGATAAGCTCTTGCTCTTCTTAATCGGTTTATATATAACTTAAGAAACTGTCCTATGGCTTGATCTTATGTTCCTTCCTCCTGCTGTGGTATTACAGGGTACCAAAATGGCACCTGGAAGGTAGCATGTCGATAGGCTGTCTGTGCATCAGGTTACAAGTGATGCTTCCTTTCAGAAAAGGGAGGACAGCAGGGAGGACACCCTCAGAACAAAGGGGATAACGAATCTCTCCTCTTGTTGCAGGTTTGATGAGATCATGGAGGCCAGCGATGGTATTATGGTGGCCCGTGGTGACCTGGGTATTGAGATCCCTGCTGAAAAAGTCTTCCTTGCACAGAAGATGATGATTGGGCGCTGTAACAGGGCTGGCAAACCCATCATCTGTGCCACTCAGGTGCTCTGAACACGAAGCTAGCTTGTATAACTGCTGGGTGTTTGTGGGTCTGGCAGGGTGTCAGCAGCTGTCCTTGCGTGCTGCAGAGAGTCTGGGGCAGATCTTCGATAGCATTTGTTAGCAGGTGAGAAGCAAGAGCCAATAGGCATTGCAGTGGCTGAACAACACATCTTCAGGGATTTGGGGTTTTCCCCATTAAGGCTTGGCTGCTGAAGGCTCTACCCCTTAAAACCTTACACTACATGAGCCTTTTGGGCTGTGTCCAGAAAACTTTGGGGAAAAATAACCTGCGTTTTGCATCTTAGAGCAGCATGTCTGTATCTAACAGAAGGATTGCTCCGACTTGCTGTGTCCCGGGTCGTTTGAAAGTTGCACTCATTCTGCTGCATTAGAAGGAACTGAAAAAAAACAATATAATCTATGATATGATTACCTTGGGAACTGCAAATGAGGGGAGGAAGCTGACACTGCAGCTTCAGTACAGATCATAGGCAGACAGTCCTCAGGCACTGGCAGGGCTGACTAGCAGTACTTGCTCTGGGTACAGGCTGTGGGATTGTGTGCCTCTGTTAGGGTAGTGCAGGTTGACTCTGGGCAGTCATTAGGTGAGATTCTGGATGTACCAGCCACATGTTTCCAACCAGAACAGCATGTTAGTAGCAACCTCAGAAAGGGACAGGAGCATATGCTGCAACAAATCTCCAAGTTGAGTTTCTTGGACCAAGCTCTGGTGCTGAGAAGTCGAATTGGAAAGTGAGAATACAATATCTGTGGTGCTGTGTGAGTTAAAGCCCTTCAGAAAAGGAGTAAGTGTAGAGTGGGAAGAAAACGTGTTGTGTGTTTTTGCTTTAATTTAGAGCTTGTTAGGTAGCAGGCCCCTCTACAGGAGAATGTCTCTCCCTACTAGCAGAAGTCAGGTTATACCTTGACTTGTACCTTACACGTGTATGGAGGTGCCTTAGTGGAAAACCAGCTGCTTCCTCCTGCTGTATCCTGACTCTTCTGAACTCATTTATCTGCAGATGTTGGAAAGCATGATCAAGAAACCTCGCCCAACCCGTGCTGAGGGCAGTGATGTTGCCAATGCAGTTCTGGATGGAGCGGACTGCATCATGCTGTCTGGGGAGACTGCCAAGGGAGACTACCCGCTGGAGGCTGTGCGCATGCAGCACGCTGTGAGTAGCCCCCCTGGTGCAAGTGGCAGTGCTCTGCCTTCCCACACCTGGAGATGTGAATGCCTGGTGCGAGGTGGCAGCACCTAGTGGCATAAAGCAGCAGTTCTTTGGTTCATGCTCCCACCGTGGGGTTTGCTTTACCTAGTGTGGCCCTGAGGGTCTGGAGCCTTGCATTGAATGCTGCATGCTGCTGCCAGGTGGAGCTGGGAGCTGCATTGCAGTGCTCAGAGATCTGAAACTTCAATTGAAACACCTTCATTTTGACTTAAGGCTAAGGTACAGGCTTTTTGGCTGCTACCTTGGTATGAATTTCTTTGAATGCCTTGTGCATTTTAGTGTTTTAATTGCCTTAAACTTGCCCAAGGTCAGGAAGCTGCTTGTTAAGCAGTGTCTCTAGATAACAAAGTGTTATCTGACTCCTCAAGGTTGTGGGGGAAGGGAGGGACTGGGAAGGGTGGGAAGGAAGAGGCTTGAGGTGTTGCATCCAGCAGCTGATGCATTTGGTGGTAGGAATGTTTGTTGCACGACAGCACCATGTTTTTACATGCCTGAACTGCCAGAAGGCTCTGCTCTGCTTCACGTTAACCCAGCTTGTGTTTCAGTTCATCAAAAATCCTGATGCTAGACATCTAGAAGTACTGGCTTTCCCCACTTGCTAGGGCTGTGAATCATGATAGTTTCATCTGCAGTTCAGGTGATACAGATGAAGGCACTGAGCCAGCACTTCTGTTTGCAGTGCATTATCTAAACATCTTTTATCTGGTCAGTATGGAGTGCTGTTTTCTCACATGGCAAATGAAACATGACTTTTAACTACTGGGCAGTGACTGCTGGCTTACAAGCTGAATTCTAACTGTGAACTCAAATTCCTTCCTTAGTCTTTCAGCCCTACATTGAGGGCTAAGTCTTCCTACCAAAATTTGGAAACTTACTGCCATGAATGTTGCAGTTCTGGCCTGAAAGCGTAGTTAGCTACAGCACAAACTGAGTTTGTGGCTCCGTCCCCCCCCTGCATGTGCTTCCCTCTTCCTTCAGGGCTGGGGATAATGGTGCTCCTTCTGCCAGGCCACAGAGGTGAACTGAAAGTTTTTATCTGCTCTATGGAGGAGCAAATCCAGATTTATCATTAATGTATGCAGACATAGGCAGGAAGGTCATCAGCAGAACTGAGAATGAGCAGGACCTGCACTCTTTGCTCCACTGAAATGCCTTCAACTGTTCTCTCCCAGAGTTTTGCTGGGTTGCTGTGTGGTTTCACAAAGCAATCATTTTCCAGTGAGCTCTGCAGCAATGAGCTGTTTCCTCACTGGCTTCTCTGCAATAAAAAAGGTGCTTGGAGTTTGGCAGCAAGTTTCCAAATGTTGAGCAGAGTGTTTCCTACTTCTTGAAATGGGCTTCCTTCCACTTCCAACTGATGATCTACAGTTATCAAATGCTGATGTGGTCCTTCTGTCTAACAGGACCACAGTGTGCGTAGCTCTTCCACTTCCTTTCCTCTCGCTTCCACTCTGCAGTCTCTACCCTCATGCTAACTACAAACACAAACTGTTTCCATGCACTTAAAGCCAGCTGTGATGTGCAGTGAGGAATTGCTGTGCCCCTCTGAAGCCATTATCAGAGCAGGCACTTGAGCACTGAGTCGCATTCCAACTCTTGGCAGTGGAGTAGTAGCCTTCCCACCAAATTCAAGTTCACTCTGCTTGTAGTGCAAAGCTACCTGCATCTGGCCTGGGAGCTGAAGGCATGCTGCCTGCCTGCTGGTGCCTGCAGTGTTTCCAGGCAGGGATGTATGCTCCATATTCCATTCGACCTAACAGTGTGAAGCCAGCAGAAACAAAACTGAGTGCTTTAGGACTGGTGTGTTGGCTCTGGACTCGTGTTCCTATCTATCACATGTCCTGTTATATTTAGACATAAGACACTTAACTACTTTGGCTTAAACTGGTATCTGTGGATGAGGGATAATTCCAGCATCATGAAAAATAATCCATTAGCACCAAAGTAGCAAAATTTTTATTGGAAAGGGGATCCAAGTGCAAAGGTTCTATGACAAGGGCACTACAGTCTTTGCTTTAACATCAGCTTGTCGTGCGTTGTGTGGCAGCTGTTCAGCTTTGGGAGTAAGGGAGTGAAGACCTTGAGAAGATCAGCCTTTGCATGCTTTTCTAGTCTCTGCAAGCCTTCTTTATCAGGTTGTCAAGGGCAAGTGCAGCCTTCTGAGGTGGGAATTGTCTTCTAATGTGAGCGATTCTCATGCTACTGAGATGAATAAATGATGGAGCTTGTTGCACGTGCTTAGGCTGTGACCAGGAGGCCTTTAATTGCGCACCTCTGGCCTGTCTGAGCCTGGCATAAATTCCTCACTGTGTGGTGAGACAGCCCTGTAAGGAAGGCTTGCTTCTGCTTTTTCTTCTGTCTCTGAAAGAGAAGTTGGTACAGCACTTGGAGGTGAAACTTCTTTGGCTCTTAGTTGAACTGGGTGAAGCTAGGAGGGCGCACATTTCCCTTTCCAGGGAAGAACTACAGGGAAGTGAAATAAGCAGCCACAAGAAAGAGTGGTCTGAGGGGTTATGCTGTAATCCCTGAAAAGCAAACTGCGTTTGGTTGCTCTGAGAAGAGTCCTAAATACAGCGAGAGTGCTGCCATTAAGGCACCTGCCAGCCGGGTGTTGTGGGGCAGGCAGTGCAGCTGTGCTGTGACATGCAGCATCGCACCTGAGAGCCAAAGAGTGTTCCGCAGCCTGACCTTTAGTGTCCTCTTGCATGCATTACTATGACAATTAAGCAAATTAACGTGATCTCATGTTCCTCTGGTCTATCTTTCCTTCTTTTCTTTCCTCTTTTCTTCTCTGCCCTTCTTCCTCGGGACTGCAGATTGCTCGTGAGGCTGAGGCCGCAATGTTCCATCGTCTTCATTTTGAAGAAATCTTACGCCACAGTGTACATCACAGGGAGCCTGCTGATGCCATGGCAGCAGGCGCGGTGGAGGCCTCCTTTAAATGCTTTGCAGCAGCACTGATAGTTATGACCGAGTCCGGCAGGTAGGGCTCAGAGAGAGGAGAGGCTTAGGCTGGGTAAGGTAACTGATGCTTGTTCCCAGCATGCGGGTTAGATACGTGCTGCGTGCCGGCCGTTGCGTGAGTGAGAGACCACGCTTAACACCGCAGGTGTTCAGCAAGCAGCATGCAGCTCTGGTGTCCGCAGGGCCGCAGGTAGGTAGGAGCAGAGCAAGAGTGCCTGGCAGTTGGGCATGAATGGCAATTGTGTGTGGGCCCAGCAGGGCGAGGTGCCACCAACTGGTGAGAAAAACTTGGAGGATCAAATTGCTCTTCATTAAGGTGGTGCTGAAGCCAATTCTGGCTCATTGGCAACTCTTCTGAAAGGCAGAAGCTGGCAGCAGCTGTGTGACACCTCTGTGACTGAGCGCCTCGCTCTACCCAGTGCTGAGTGACTGACACGAGTGTTGTCTTCCCGAACGCGTGTTGCTCTTCTAGATCGCCCGTGAGGCAGAGGCCGCCATCTTTCACAGGCAGCTGTTTGAGGAGCTGCGTCGCCTGACCCCCCTGAACTGCGATCCCACCGAGGCCGCTGCTGTTGGCGCTGTGGAAGCGTCCTTCAAGTGCTGCAGCGGGGCCATTATTGTCCTCACCAAGTCCGGAAGGTAGGAGGTCGCAGGTTCCCTCGGATCACAGCTCCGTGACCGAGTTGGGGGAAGGAGACCCGCACAGAGTGCCTTGAAATAAAGCTGTAGCAGCGGAGCCCAGGTTTGGCAGCGACGATTCCTGGGGAGGTGGCAGACATCTCAGACATCTGCGCACATGCGGCACTGGGTTCCTGAGCCTGCCAGCGTGGCATCAGTACCAGGCCCTGCCTCTTCCTGCTCTGCACAGCACCTCTGCCAGCATTGCTGGCTGGAAGAGCGGAGGGGAAAAGTAAACTGCTGCAGCTTCCACCTTCTTAGCAAGAAGTCCTCAAGTTAGCAGTAGAGTTAAAAGTTGAACAGATGCAGAGTCTTTTCCTTTCTATCAAGGCTTTGTCCTCTTGAAAGAGCTATAGTTCGGTTGCTACCTTGCTGAACCTTTTGGGCACCAACCCAGCTCCCCTAAGCACAACAGGGGTGAAGAAAGAATGCTTAATCAGAATTGTCAGGTAGGGGAAATGAATGCATTGCAAGTTTTTACAAGCTTCCCAAAGCCTGCCTGTGAGTAGTCCTGTGGAAGAAGCAGGCGTCCAGCTGGGTGAGCTCAGCACCGTGGCTGCAGGTGAGGCAGCAACGCAGACTGAAGCTGTATAGGGAGGGATTTCTGAACCAGCTGTGCTGATGATACACTGCTCTTCCTGTTGGGCAAGAGTGAAGCACAGGGCTGCAGCCTGGCTGTGAGCAGCTTTCCATCTAGAGGAGCTACGCTCAGAGGGCGGTGGACCATAAGTCTCAAACTACTTTCTAGAAGAGAAGCTGAGTATCTTACATGGAGCTGGCAGCAGAATTAGTGCTGCAACGGAAGCATGACCGTGCACGTGCTGGGCATGGCCCACCTCAAGAACCCTTAACCTAAACTTACAGCTTAGAGTGATTTGAAGTAGCCACTTTGTGCAAAGACAAGGAGCAACTACAGGAGCACAGTTCTGGATACCCTTCTAAAGTTTCTTTGTGAAAGGTTCCAGTCCTTGACCTTTTTGGAAAGATTTGAACTCTGGTATTTGAATATTTTTAGCTGTGGATTCTGTTACAGCCTTGGAGTATCTGCGTGTGTTAGAGCTGCTGGGCAGTGTGGGGAGGATTGTCTGAGAGCTGGCACGTGTGACTGGGGGCTTTTGAACCAGGTTCTTGCTGAGCTTGGCTCCAGAAAACAAGGTTTGCAAAAGCTAGCGAAGCTGCTAGCAAGTGTGTCAGAAAGATGGAGCTGTAAATGGCATGGCTGTGCAGCTTTTATTTTTTTTGGCTTCTAAAAGCAGAGCCCCAGGGAGGGGAGGCTGTAGTTGCCACCCTGTGCTTGCTGCCTGCTGTATGGAGGCTCTGGTGTCCCTGGTTTCTGCATGTGGGTGTCAGCCTCAATCAGAGCAACCCCGTGCTCCCCACACTCAGGCCAGATGAAGGCACTTGCTTCCCCCCCCCCCCCCCGCCGAAGTCCTTATGCACATCAAACACAGCGACAGAGCTGGGATGAACACATGGGATTAAATGTTGGTTGCTCCTCTGAGACTTAAACCCATCAGTGAGCTGTGGTCAGACCCAACTTTGGGGGTGGCTGCCTTTCCCTGACATGGATTCTGCCCTCTGGAAGCATCCTCACACTGCTGCTGACACTGCTGACACAGGCTTGTTCCACCTCATGAGGTGGGGGTTGACAAGAACAGTGAAAACTTGCAGGGGCCCTGCTGAGATGCCGAGGAGAGTTTGCAGAGGACAGAATAGATGGCAGCTAGCCACCTTCACATAGCAACAGAGGCAAATAAATGCTTGTGTTTGGGCCGAAGCATGCAGATGGCACTTTGAAACCCAGGGGTGTGGCAGTCTCACCCGCAAAACCCGTTAGGGTCTGTTGCCTCATGGTATTGCTCGGCCCCACTGCTAAATTGAGAAATGAGTGTTGAGCTCTGCTGGTAGAACTTGGCTCTTGCAAAATATTGTGCCAGCATCCCCTGGTCTCAACCCAGCACACTTCCAGAAGTGGCAGAGCTCTCCAGGGTGATGGGAGATGGCCTGTGCTGCAGGCAGGGGTGCCCCTCTGCTTGTGCCTGTGCTGCAGTGCTGTGCCTCACCTTGTGCTTCTTTTCCCTCTCACAGATCTGCACACCTGGTGTCCCGGTACCGCCCGCGGGCTCCTATCATCGCTGTCACCCGCAATGACCAAACAGCACGCCAGGCACACCTGTACCGCGGCATCTTCCCCGTGCTGTGCAAGCAGCCGGCCCACGATGCCTGGGCGGAGGATGTGGATCTCCGTGTGAACCTGGGCATGAATGTCGGTGAGTGCTGCGCTCCTGCCTCGCTCTGGGGGCTGCGGCAGGACCTGCAGCAGTGTTGGCGCTGCTGTTGGAATGTGGGGGATCACGGTTGCGTAAGTGCACCGCATCTAACGGGGAAATGGGATGGTGGTTTCGTCACGGCGGCTTTGAAATAGCTGCCAGCAGGAAACCAGCTCTGCTTTAATAAGCGAGAGAAGGGAGGTGGGAGGAGACCTGAGTGCTGATGCTTTTTTCCTTTTTCCCCAGGCAAAGCCCGTGGATTCTTCAAGACTGGGGACCTGGTGATCGTGCTGACAGGCTGGCGCCCTGGCTCCGGCTACACCAACACCATGCGGGTGGTGCCCGTGCCCTGAGCTGCCGGCACCTCCCCTCTTCCACCCCCGCGCCCTTCCCCATGCGTTAGGCCTGCAGTCGCTTGCGATGTTCTCCTCGTCCCTAGCGTGGATTTAGGTTGCTCAACACCACCGAGTGCAGCAGCGGGGGAAGAGACCTTAAATCACTCAGAATACTTGAAGTGTGTAGTTGTTTCCAGACCTCTCTGCCTGTAGTTAGCCATGTCAGAGTGGGGCCCTGCGCTCCCCGTGTCCCCCTAGCTTAGCACTGTCCTCAGGGTGTGGCTGATGCCTCTCCTTGCCCCGGCTGTGGGGTGATGGGGAAGGAGTAGGCACTCGTGGTAAACGGTTCTGCTGCTGCACACCGCAGCTCCCCCAGGTTGGTGCCCTCTGTCCCCGAGGGGTTATGGGTTGTCCCCTCTGGGCTTACACTCCCAAGGTGTGCTCCACGGTTCCTACTAGAAACCCAAACCAGAGTGCTGCTCGTTGTGCCCCTGGGTGCAGGTGGAGTCCTGCAGGTTGGTGGGGTGCAGGATGGGTGGGGGACGCACGCTTCATCTCTTTGCAGCCACCTGCCCTTATATGGTGTCTGTCTGTGTTGTCGCCTTTCCTGAGAGCATTCCCTCTATCTGGGCGCCCTGTTTGCTCCGGTGGATGTACGGGGTTGTGGAGCACCACTGTGCACGTTAATAAAGAGCTGAGCACCCCTGCCCACTGTTTCTTGTGCTGCTGCTGCGCGACAGCGGGGTCGCGCGTGGGGGTGGAGAGGCGGGGGGCCACCACAGGGGGGCACCCGGAAAGGGGACGCGGGCCCTTTAAGAGGCGGGGCAACTGCGCAAGGGGGCGTGGGTCCGACAGGCCTCCCCCTCATCCTACTGGATCGAGCGGCGCCTCTCAGCCACCAATGGGAGCGCGGGGCGGGGGCGGGGCTAGGCGGCGGGCGACGAATGAACGGTCGGCGTGGAGCCGCGAGGCATGACGGCGCCGGGCAGCGCGGGGCCGCCGGGCAGGTAGGGGCTGCGGGCCGGGACCCGGGTTCGGAACCCGCGGCGGGAGCGGGACGGAGGCGCGGGGCCGGGGCCGCTCCCCGGGAACGGGGGAAGGTGGGCGGCCCTCGACCCGTCCTGGGCGGCGGCGGGCCGCGAGTCGAGCGCGGAAGGTCACGGCGCTGCTTCGTGCGGCCCTGAGGAGATCCCCGCGTCCTCGAGGCGCCGAGCGGCAGCCCCGGCCGAGCGCGGCCCCTTTCTGTCCGCCCGACGCTGCCTTCCGGCGGCGGAGCGACGGGCGGCGCGCGGCCGCGGGACGGGGCTCACGGGCTGTTCCCGCAGCGCCGCGTCGATGCACGAGCGGGCCGCCCCCCCGAGGAGCCCCCAGCCCGTGCCGGGCCGCGACAGGCTGCAGGCGGCGTCCAGGGAGCGCAGCGCGGAGGCCCCGGACGGCAGGTGAGTGCCGGCTGCCTTCTCCCGTCCCGTCCCGTCGTGGCGAGCCGGCCCCGCGCTGAGCCGCGCCTTGCTCTGCCCGCAGCCTCGAGGCCCTGAAGGAGGAGGACATCAAGAAGTGCCAGAGGGAAGCGGTAAGTCGCTGCGCGGCTTCGATCCCGGGAGCGCCGAGGAAGCGGAGCTCCGCGCTGGGCTCTGTGGGGGCTGAAAACAGAGCTAAATGTTGGTTGCGAGCACATCCTGCTGCTCTCCGTGGTTCTTTGCGTTGTGCCCGCGGTAAAGCTTTTCTCCTCACCTACAACCCGAAGCGACAGGAGAACAGAAAGGAGCTGCGGACAGCTCTCCCCGTTGGGTTTGGTGCTTTGAGAACGGCGCAGGGAGCACCCGTTCTGCACACAGCCGCTGTTCCCGCAGAGTAGCACCCCGGGGCTCAGGGCTGCCCAAACAAACTTGGACCGACCCCGCTGTGTGTGCTTGGAGCACGGATGTGTAGGCACGGTGCCACCGAACCTTCTCCAGCTGGCATCGTGACGCGGGAGATCAGCTCGGTAATCCAAAGCCACGCCAAGCGGGTGGACATCTGGAGTGTGTCCTGCTCCCGCAGCAAGGAGAGGCTTGGGTGCAGCAAAAGACAGCATTCAGGTGCACTGTGTGCCTGCAGCCAGGGGACAGCGGATTCTCAGGGCTGCCCCACTTTGGCTTGGCTCTATGCTTGGCGGGGAGCAGCTCCCTGTCCCAGAGCAGATGTATATTTAGCAAAATATTTTGCTGATTATTCAGAGGAATCTGGGAGGGCTGTGAGCGCCAGGCAGGCTGCCAGGGAGCCGGGTGCTTCTCCTGTTGTGTTGGGGCGGAGGGCAGCTCGGTGCCCTCGGAGCAGCAGGGTGATGGGGGGTGTCTGGCCTGCCCCCAGGTGATGCTCAGCCTGATCCTCTTTGAGCCGCACTGATCCGGTGGCAAGGTGCGTGGCGCAGGGGTGACCTTGGTGCAGGGCTGTGCTGCGTTTCTCCCTGCCCGCTGTCTCCCTCGGGTCTTTGCCTGGATTGCAACTGTGCCACGAGCGCTGGCGGAGGGGCAGGGGGCAAAAACCTGCCTGCGCAGCCTGAGTGGATTTAGTGCAAGTCACCGAGCTTCTGCCGTGCTTTTAGCTTAAATAGAGCGTTATTTGAGCACCTTTGCGCACTGCTGCCGAGCTGCCCACCGCTCCTGCCGCCGTGCAGCGAGGAGGGACTGTGACACAGACTGCCATGGCACGGCGCGACGGGCGCAAAGCAAGTGTGGCAATGCCTGCGGGACAGAAGGGAGAAACATCCATCAGCAGCATAACTGCTGCGGTGGAGAGCGAGTGGAGGCTCAGCAGCTCTTTAGATAGCTCGTAGCTACCGGTGGGAATGTCTGTGGGATCGTCGTCCCGAGCTGTTCAGAGCTGGCTGCTGGTGTCCTCCCCCCAGTGCTCCTATCTCCTCCTCCTCCTCACTGTTTTGCTCTGCTCTCTTGCAGGCTGCCAGCAAGTACAACTCCCAGTACCACAAGCTGTTCAAGGACATCCCGACGGAGGAGAGCGTGCTGAAAGGTGGGCAGTGTGGTGCGGTGCGGGGCAGGAGGTGCGGGGCCACGGGGCTCTGACACCTCTCTGCTCTGCAGTCTGCTCCTGTGCGCTGCAGAGGGACATCCTCATCCAGGGACGGCTTTACATCTCCCCCAACTGGCTCTGCTTCTACGCCAACCTCTTTGGGAAGGACATTAAGGTAATGTGGTGCCCAGCGCGGCCCTTCCCCCATGTCCACTGCTCCATCCCAAAGAGCTCACTGCAGCACACCTCACCCTCCCCATGAGCCACTGACGTTCCCTTCAGTGCTTTGCACTGAATCTGGCTGTGCTTCTTCCTCTGGTGACCTGCAGGTTCTGCCTGGGAGAGCCAAGTACTGCTTTGGAGCAGGATTCCCCCAGGCAGAACCTGGCTGGAAGGGGGATGAAAAGTTCCAGAGGATTCTGGAGGGGGTGTGAATCTCTTCTGACATTTCTGCTTGATTTACGCTGACGTTCCCCACTAATGTTGTGGCTGACGGGGATCTTTGACGGAAGCGACTTCCTTTCAAGCTGGGCTGCGGAACTGCATTATTTATGTCGGCAGCTTGAAACAAATCTATCTGCGGAGGCACAGCACATCGCTCGCCGGGCTGAGCGTGTTGCAGCTCTGCAGATTGCATCCTGACTGTTCTTAACTGCTGCCCTGCTTCCAGGAGTTCCTGCAGTGAGCTTTTGGGATGCACTGTGTTTGTGTTGGACAGTGGTTTCCCTGTGTTCTCGCAGTTTTGGTCAGGCAGAAACCGACTCCAAGCCGAGATTAACGTTGGGGGGTTGCCATGACCTTTAATGAAAACAAAGCAGTCTCTGGGGAGCGCCAGCTCTTCACGTAACTCGCCGTGTCCCTGCCTTCCCAAAGTGATTGCACGCCCCGTGTGCTTCACCTGCAGGTCGTGATCCCCGTGGTCTCCGTGCAGCTCATCAAGAAGCACAAGACGGCGCGGCTGCTGCCCAACGGGCTGGCCATCACCACCACCGCCAGCAGGAAGGTACTGCAGTGTCAGGGCCTTCCGTCCTGCTGGGGAACTGAGCACAGCTCTGTGCTGGCAGCTGGCCAGGGCAAATGTGGAGTTCTGCTTTTGTTTCTGTATTTCACTTTGTTTCTGTCCGAAGCAAACACTGAGCGAAACTCGTCTGAGCTCAGCCAATCCCTGCCAGGCTCTGATAAACCTTTAAACTTCTTACAGCCAAGGAGGGGATAAACTCGGGCCACAATTAGGCTGGCACAGAACTTGGTTAATGGGCTGAGTGTGAGCTGTGGCTGAGCTCTTAACATGCGCTGCTTGTTGCCTACTGAAATGTGCTGACGTAGCCCTGCTGGGTGCCCTGCGCCTGCTCCTGGCAGCGCTCTGCGGTGGCACCGTGGCACAGCGTGGGCCCCGGGCTGCTCAGCCCAGCTGCCCCTTTGCAGCCCTTCTGCACTGCCGAGGTGATGTGAGCTGCTGTCCCTGGGATCCTTCTGGTCACTCCAGGTGCCGCTCAGAGCCACAGGGAACAAAACTGGCCTTGAAAAAATCTGCCCCAAACTTGAGCAGGCTGCAAAAATAGAGCTGGGGAGCTGAGCAGGGAGGTGGTGCGGGGAGGGCAGGGGGACATGGCTCCCATGGGGGGCAGATTTGAGGGCAGAATGTCTCAGCCTGCCCTGCGGATGGGGAACCGGCGCTTAAAAACTCCTGGGCACATCAATCTGTTTTCTGGTGTGTAGGAAGGATTGAGGTCAGGGCGGAGGGGAGCCCCTCCCATTGCCTTCTCTCTCTTGCAGTACATCTTTGTGTCGCTCATCTCCCGTGACAGTGTGTACGATGTGCTGCGGAGGGTCTGCACACACCTGCAGGTAATGCTGTGCGTGGCTCCCATCCCGCTCTGCCTGTTTGCCATCCCAGCATCCCGCTGGCTGTTTCATGCTTTGGGCTGCACTGTTGAGCTTCACAGGGCCAGTCCTGCCCTCAGCATCCCGGCAGGATGTGACCTGTCCCTGTCCCTGGGGTGTCACACAGTGTCCTGTCCCGGTGACCTGTTCTGGGTCACACATGAGAGGGACAGAGCCCTCGGAGTTCCTGTGCTCGCCCTTGCAGGGTGTGGAGAGGCAGTGTTTCTAATCTGGTGGCTATTCCTGTTCCACCACTATGCGCACTGCTGACTTTTCCCCAGATTTCCTTACTCACATAGTGGGAAAAAATGCCACGAAGTAAAAATTTGAATTAAAAAGCCTGATATGAGGAGGAAACCCGTCGCTCCTCGGGCTGGAGCGGAGAGGTGCTGGGAGCTCTCCTGCCTTTGAAGCACCTGGAAAGTGGTGCTGGAGCTGCTCCCAGTATTCCTGTTTTCCTTCTTCGTGGTTCATCTCCTCTGTGTTGTGTAGGGCTTTTGGGGAAATGGAAAGCAGCCCTGTCAGATCACAGAATTGTTTGAGTCAGAAGGAACCCTTAAAGTCTGTCAGTGCAACCCCCTGCAATGAACAGGGACACCCACAGCTCCATCAGGTGCTCAGAGGCCCCCCTGGCATGACCTGGGTGTCTGCAGGAACGGGGCAGAGCTGTCTCTCTGAGCACCCTATGCCAGGTTGCGAGCATTAAAGCAGCTCCTTTGCATAACAGCACACTAGTTGAAAACCTCAGAATCTAATTCTGTAACTCCCATTGGAGCAAGAAGAGGGAAGATGGTCTAATCCTGTCTTGTTCTCTC